AAAATGAACGAATGTTTGTTTAGCAAATGGACTGTGGGAGCTGTCAATCAAACCGAGTGTAATCTGTGTGACCAATCACATTAAAGATCTGCACTGGCCCCTCCCACCCCCTCCAGTGTGTGTGTGTGTGTGTGTGTGTGTGTGTTTTAATGATTGTGTCGATGTGAAAAGGATTACGTAATCGGAGCTCCTCTGTTTTGTCCTTGCTCATCCTTTCAGAAAAGCCTGTCTCATTTAATGAAGTTATTTCAGGAAGCACTTTTGCTGCTGCTGCATTTCAATGTGAAAACTGTTAGTTAGGCTACAGCACTGGGATCCAAAATCCTGCTCGCTCGTATCATTGTGAAGGACAGTCCAAGGGGAAGCAGTCTAGCAAAAGTCATTGCAAATAAACCAGTGCAATCAGAAAATGACATTAGCTGATCTGATGTTTACATAGAAATGGCATGATAGTTTTTATATTGTAAGTTTGCTTACAAAACTGTATTGTAGTATTAGCCTGTTTTTGAGGACCATGCACCATGGGCATTCTTCAAAGTACTATGTGATACCATGATTTTTCTTAAAGATATGAACCCAGTCAAAGGATGCCATTAAGGTTTGCAAAGTGGTTTTCTGTAGCTATGATAGGCTTTTGTTACATTATATGGAAATAAAACAATATTTTGACTTCTAAAGACATTTTTGTCTATTCTGCTGCAATAATATGAATTTCTTTGAATTAATTTGTGTTCTTCCCTGCGGGAAAAAAAAATGCTAAAACCAGCGAAGACCAGCCTGACCAGCTAAAGAAGTGGTCTAAACCCCTCTAAAACCAGCCTACAAACAAACCAGCCTGGAAGACCAGCTAAAACCAGCCAACCAGCTTAGGCTGGTTTCAGCTGTTGTTGTTGGGTTTCTTTCTATTATTTATTTATTTATTGTTTAGCAGGGTCAAAAATCTAGTGCTTTATGCAAATATTTGATTAATCTGCATGTAAATATTTAAATGATTATTTTTTAATAATAATAAAAAAAATATATAAAAAAGATTCTCTTTTATCCAAAAACTACAGCCAGGGCTCCCTTATTAATTAATTTTTCTCAGTCTTGGTTGTATTTTATGTACGCCAGCTGTTAATTTGGGACAAACCTGTACTTCAGTCAGAAGTCAGAAAAATTAATACGTTTTTGGATAAAAGGGAATGTTAATCATTTTTTTCAATACTTGCAGGTTATCTCAAAATTTGCTTGTTACTAATGAAAATGCTTTAACCAAACTCTTGCAATATTTCTAATATCATTATAATGAAATTACAGTATGCAGCATTGGCCTATATATCCAGTGTTTAGTGTATATTTGTAATCACTATATTTAGTGTTAAAACAACATCATATACATTACAGCTTATCTTGTTGTGGCCCACATTCCCCCTCCAGATGTTGTTTGTCCTGCAAATATAAACCGTACATCAGAAATTGAATCATGGGATAGGGCGAATGCAGTGAAGACGGGATGTTTTGTCGCTTGTTCCTGTTTTTTTAGGAGTAGTGAAAATTGAATGAAGATTAGTGGTTCTGTTCAGAAAAAGGGTCACAGAGTTTACATTGTAGGTTAGCAGATCTTTTTGTGGGCTGATAGCAATGTCAGGTCATGTTACATGATTCTGAATAGCACATATATAAAGATGCATGAATGTGGCACCCGTGCAATATACATGAACAAGAAAAACCCATTTAGGTCATCAGTGGCATCTTCCCAACCCACAAGCGTTGAGCTGCACAGCTGAACAGAAGGTGAAGTTCAAATGCTGGAGTCCCCACTGGGAACCTTGTCTATATATCTGTATATATATGCTATATGCATTTATAGTTGTGCATGTAATATATGCACTGCAATTGGGGGCTCCAGTACTCTGTGGGAGTGAATAAATGTGGCATGAAAATAAAGACATTTTGCTGAGTTCTCCTTGCCCAATACATAATCAAGTTTGAAAACCACTGAACGTTCCCTTAAGTTTATGGCTAACAAGACTGATTTGAACCCCTGCTTGGCCAATAAAAGTAAGCAACAGAAATAGGCATTTATATTTCTGAAAGATTTCTTTGTGAGAAGACCTTCTTGAAGGAGTCATCAGGCATGTTGTGCGGTACACACCCTGCCACTTATCTAACAGTCTTACATTGTTCAGTGGTCATAAGGAGGTTGTGAGAAAGACATCCCACTGTTCTCTCTGAAATCCTGGAAGAGTATCCGAATAAATATATTCTGCCGTTCTCTGCGAGATGCCTTAATGCGCTTTTGTTTTTCTCCTTGCTCCCAACAGATCGCTCTCCTCCAGCTGTCGTCCTAAATTAGCTGAGCTCTGTGAAAAGAGAGCCGTTTCAACTGACCCCTTCTGTTCCTTGAAGCTCCAGCCGTCCGTGACACCCAAATGCTGCCTGTCTTTCATCAAACTGGTCACTCCTGGAGAAAAATGGACTTTGAGTGAAGGGCGGCCCTTTATGTGGGCTGACTCCCTCTAGGACGACTCTGAAACTAGTTGAGACTCAAATGGGTGACCTATGACAATGTAACCAATAAGGGGACTTGAGTTCTCGATTTCCCAAGCAGCTGCAAGCAGGATATGAGCTTGAGCCGTGGGTATCGGCGATAAAACAAACCTTTCATCGCTTGAGGCCTCCTCTAACGTCATGCAGTCATCTGAGGAATTGTTTAACAGGAAGCTGAAAGCGTTGAATGGGAGTATGGGACATCCAGCGGGCAACACGCAGGGCAAGCTGGACGGGGGTGGCAAAACGAACGGGACACCTGCTATGCCTAAAATGGGGGTGCGGGCCAGGGTGACGGACTGGCCCCCAAAAAAGGAAGGTTGGGGACCCAACTACGAGACCGTCATCACGGCCTTTCAGAACGGACAGCCAGACCAAAGTGTGGAGATCACGGATTTAGACGAAGCTCCTTTGGAGCCTGATTATTCGGATACAAAATATTCCTTGAGTGACCTTTTGAGTCGATCCCCTTTGAAGGGACTCCATCCCATTCGCCAACGGAGTAACAGTGACGTGACCATCAGCGACATTGATGCGGAGGACATAATGGACCAGAACGCTGTTAACCCCAACACCGGCGCCTCGTTGCATCGGGAGTACGGCAGCACGTCTTCGATTGACCGCCAGGGTCTTGGGAATGATGGGTTCTTTACTATGTTGCGAGGATATCAGATTGACAACTTGGACCATCGCAGCGCTCCGCCTGCCGGGTTCCCAGAGCTCCTTCGCTACGACACAACCCTCTCCCCAAGCTTGCAGACCGCTGCACAAATAGCCCGCGGCGAGATCATCCACATCTCCGGCTACGACTACGTGGACAGCTCCCTCCTCTACAGCCGAGAAAGAGAGAAGTCCTTCATGCGTCGTCTCAAGTCGGAATCATCCGAAACATCGCTGTTCAGGAAACTGAGGACTATTAAGAGCGAGAACGATGGTCTGCGGCTCTCCACCGAGCAAGACGACCGCCGGCCGCTCAGCTTCCAGAAGTGCTTCGCTCACTATGACGTCCAGAGTGTCCTCTTTAACATCAGCGAAGCGGTGGCCAATCGCGTAAACCTCAGCCAGAGGAAGAACACCACCACCGGAGCTTCTGCCGCCTCCCAATACCAAGTCCCAGGAGGTGGACAAGTGGCTGGGAATACAACTGGACCTGCATCCATGTTCGAATCGCCGCTCGGAAGTCGGGAAGACCTCAATCCCAAGGAGAACCTGGATGCGGATGAGGGGGATGGGAAGAGCAATGGATTGGTGCTGAGTTGCCCGCATTTTCGCAATGAGATTGGTGGAGAAGGGGAGAGGAGGATATCTCTATCCAGGGCCAACAACGCCACCTACAGCGCTGGAGGGGAAAACTGCTCGTTCGAGTCCTCCTTGAGCTCCCACTGTACTAATGCTGGCGTGTCTGTACTGGAGGTGCCACGAGAAAGCCAGCCAATCCACCGTGAAAAGGTCAAGCGGTACATCATCGAGCACATCGACCTCGGAGCGTATTACTACCACAAATACTTCTATGGGAGAGGTAAGCCTTGTCATTTTGCGTGAAAAACAAAGCTGATTCTTGTTTGTTAAACTCAACATGAAAACTAAATTGACCTTTCATTCCTGGTTCTATTCAGAATGATTCATCAGTGTATGTTATTCTAAATTGTTATTGTTTGTAATCTTGCTATGCCTCTGAAACATAATTTCTCTTTAGCTGATGTCACAAAGGTTATGTTTGTGCATTTGTAACTCTGGCATGGACAGATATTTTGCGGCTTATATGCATTTGTAGGAGTTTCCCTTTCAGATCAACTGCAGAACTTTCTACTCCCATCGGCGCTTTTATGGGATTGTGATCTCATGCTAATTTGCCCTGTTTAGTAAATCTGGCCCTAAGTATTTTCATAGGTTTGTATCTTCAGTGTACCAATGCTCCAAACCTGTATGAGTTTCTTTCTTCTGTTGAGCACAAAAGAAGATATGTGACCTGTGCTGGCAACATTTTCAAAAATTAGTCCTTTTTATTTTCACAATCATTTTGCTTACATCAGCATGGGTTTGAACATCACATTTCACTGGTTCAGCCATCGAGAATTTGTTATGAATATTCACAAAGCTGGAATGCTGCGCTTTACAACTATACCAAACTTGTGCTGAGGGGAAGCACCAGTATTCAAGATGCGAGCAGAAGAAAAGGTGGACCTCTCAGAAAACATACAAATAAAGATCATTTTAGATGTTTAATTACTATTTGGATCATTGGGATTGCTAGACAAGGCCTTAATGAACTGATTTTTGTCAAAACCTCAAAATGAATATTTTTTTTTTTTTGCCTGTAGCTCATTCCATGCACATTCCAACTCATTTTGCCAGCACGGTGCACATGTTCTGAAGAATGCTGGTAATCAAACAGTTGAAGGTAGCCATTGACTTCCATGGTATGGAAAATAATACTATGGAAGTCAATGGCTACCATCAGCGGTTTGATTACCAACATCCTTCAAATTATCTTCTTTTGTGTTCCACTTGAGGGTGAGTAAATGACAGAGTTTCCATTTTTTTGGGGGTTAACTTTGCAAAATGTCTACAGAGTACTAATTCGAAATTTAAAATGTCATTTTTTTTTGCTGTGTGAATTATTAAAAATCGTGCCTTGTAAGTATTCTCTCCTTTGGATGTCGGTCTGATGATTTAGGGACCATAGGTTTTGAGAAGCATGGTGTTTGTTACACATTTTGAAAGGAGAAACACTTGTGCCAAGGATTGAGGTGTGAGAATGTTCTCCTGTCTTTGGCCTGTGATTTGTCATGTGAGAATAGACAGGGTGAGGTGCAGCTGTTCCCCTCTGAGGAGCCGTGATGCCGAGAGAGGCGAGACGGGACCCTCTCCTCACACCGCAGTCCCACCGCTCTTCATTAAAACACCTCAGCGTGTCTGGGAATGGAACAAGCAAATGATACCTCAACTTATATTGCACAATGTCGTCCGTGTTTGACTGAGAAGGTGTCCGCGTCTGTCAGACTGCTTTTTTATTGCATGTCTGCACATCTGCATAGTCCTGACAGGATTGTGTTACCCATTCCTAAGGTCTGGAAAACAGCTGCTCCTCCTCTCGCCATGCAGAAATTCATTTCTTTCCTTTGACTACGCTGAATAATGAGCCGCAGCCTGTGGGTGAAAGCTGCGATTGTGTCCCGCACGTTCACAGGCTTTCCAGCCATAGCGAATGAGCCAATTACAGCTCAGCTCAAATGACAATAAATCATGTTAGCCAGCTCATTCTATTGGGAAATAGATAATCATCCACCGTGCCGAGTTGCCAAAGACCTATCAAGCAGAAGAGCGCAATTTCCTTCATTTGTGTAGGGATATATTTTACACTGATTAGTCTTGTGCGTTTAACTTTATTTTAAGTGTTGTTTAAAGAGGAAAGGAGTTTCGATGTGAAAATCAAAATTGACCCATTTAGCCACTATTAGTTAATTCAAAACTAATAGCCAGATATTAATTTATTTAGTTATTTTTAGGTTACTGTTGTAGGTAATGCAGCTTTGCTAATATCTAGCTAATAGTTAATTTAATGCTGGTTATGCAGCGACGAATAACTGAAATAATGGTAAATAAGGGCAGATTTAAATAGGAGCTTTAGCATTTGTTTTTAAATTACAATTAATTTGTAATTAAATGCATAACTTTAAACTGAATGCATAACTTTAATGTATAAAATTGAATTAAATGAAATGCATAACTTCAAATTGAAATGAATGAAATGCATAACTTTAAAATTAAATAAACACAATGCATACATTCAATGCATAACTTTAAACTGAATTAAATTGAGTGCATAACTTCAACACAACTTTAAATGAAATAGAATTGAATGCATAACTTGAATGCATTGCTTCAAATTGAATGCAAAACTTAAATGCATAACTTCAATTTTAATAAATGCAATGCATAACTCGTCTTGAATGCATAACTAAATTTAATTCAATGGAATGCATAACTTACTCTTAAGATAAATGTTGCTTTTAAATTATTTAATACAGAAATTGGTTTTATTTTGACAGTCTGACATTCTCAACTTCAGACTAACAGTCAGAGTCCATTTAACCTTTCATAGCTGATCATCACCCCTTCATCGTCTCTAGAGGGACATGGAAAGGACAGAGCTGTCAACATGTCTCTCCCAAGAGCCACTATCCTCTTTCACACCTTGCTTTCCGTGATGCTTTTATCACCTAGGGAGAAGCATTGATTCCATTAACTTCCTCTCCCGTTTTCCCCTGTTCGTGACCAAGATGCTGCATGATCGGGGATGCAAGATGTGACATGCCCACAATCATGGCTCAGCTCAATGCCTCCCGTTGGTGACAGAAACTGATGTGTCATAGTTGCTCAAGAAACATTTCTGCTCATTATCAGTGTTGAAAACAGTTCATATTTCTATGGAAACAAAACAAACAAAAACATTTTTTTAAGGATTCTTTGATGAAAAGAAAGTTCGAAAGAACAGCATTTAATTGAAATAGAAATCTTTTGTAACTTTATAAATGTCTTTTATGCATCCTTGAATGCGTCCTTGATTAATAAAAATATTAATTTCTTACTGATTCCAAACTGTAAACGTAATCTACTTTATCTAAACAAGGAAATCATTTAGTACTACCATATATGAAAGTACTATGGTATCCTCACGAATCCAGCTCGACCAAGTTGGTCTACCTTGTCAAAACCGGATGATGATTCATCAAAATCTGGTTGTAACTGGATTTTCCAACAGGGTTCTGATAAAGTGTATTTTAGAGGGCAGTAGTCGTGTTGTTTTACTTTGAGTCGTTTAGAGAGGATGAGATGAAGTGTCCCGCTGAGGGTGTTTGTTGTTCTGCACTTCTGGCTTTGAGTTGGATTAGGTGGATGTTTGAGGAGGAGAACGGTTTCAGATCTTCTCCATCATTCAGGTCGCGCCTGCTGCTGTAACTATAAATTAGGTTGTGTTTGTTTTTCATTCACACTAACTATTGAGCTGCTCAATCTCTGTTGCTAATTTTGTTTGTTGTCCCATATTTTTGCGTTTTTATTTTAATGCTTTTTTCTTCTCCATGACATGCTTTAGTACACTGTGTTTATCATGTTGCATAATTTTGGCCTCGGGTTTTCGACTTGATGTCCAAATGTATGTTTGTCTCTAAAGGGGCTTACTGAAAAGATATCAAGAAGAAAGAGGTTAAGCTTCGTCTGTAGCCGGTTTTATTTCTGTTGTTAATCTCTGATGGACCCCTATGGTGCAGTGAAATCAGAGATTATGCTTCATATATGACACTAAAGTGTCTGTGAGACTGTGTGAAAATCCATAGAGATGTGCTCTGGATCAGACCACATCATTGCCATGTGGACATGACAGATGATTAAGGATATTTTAACTTGAACTCTTCTCTATTATAACACCAGTTTAAAATACCTATTTTATTTTATTTTATTTTACTTTATTTTTTATTTTACATCATTAAGCCTATCAAGAGCATGTCATATTTTATTCCAAAATCAAAAGAGAAAATAATTTATAAAGTATTTAAAATAAAGTTACTATCAAATTTATTTGTTTGTTTGGAACAGATGATCATTTGATCATCAGTTGTCATAAAAACAATCAATGCAAAAGTCTTAATGGTCCAAAAATAAGCTTTTCATTTAAGTTTAGTTTAGTTTAATTTTTGTGTTTTGTTTTAATATCATAAAGCCTATCATGTCACATTTTATTCTAAAATCAAAAGAGAAAAAAATGTATAGTATTTAAATAAGTGAAATAAGTTTTATAAGTAAATTTATAAGTAAAGTATTTAAAATTAAGTTACTACCAAATTAATTAATTAATTAATTATTTTTTTTAAATGTATCCTTCCTAAAATAAATGGCTTATTTATTGTATTTTATTTTATTTTATTAATATCATGAAGCCTATCTCAATCATGTCATATTTTATTCCAAAATCTAAAGAGAAAATAATTGATAAAGTATTTACAATTAAGTTACTATCAAATTACATAATTTATTTTAAATGTTTGTTTGTTTGTAACAGATGATCATTTTATTTGATTATTTTATTTTCTTTATTATCTTTTTTTAAATAATTTATTAACTACAGTATTTAAAACCAAGTTACTATCAAATATTATTTATTTGTTTGTTTGCTTGTTTGATTGATTTTTGTTTGGTATGGATAATCGTAATAAATGGTTCTAAAATAAATGTAATTTTGTTTATGCAAAATATAAATTTCTATTTGTGGAGTGAAATATGACCTGGATTGACTTATTGAGATTCATCCTTTTAGTTATACAAATATAATTTGCATTGCAGTAGTTTTGTGGAAAAATGATTTCAGGAATTGATAAAAACAGGAATCATTTCTATTTATTTTGTCCATTTAATCATCAAAATATGAAGGCGAATAGCTGTTTAATGTTAGGGTTGGGCCGATAGACGATGGCTGACAGACATCACAATGTTAAGCTGACATCGTGATCCCCCCCACCACCCCTTCTCCCGCAATCCGCCGCATCCCAGTTCCGTGTTCGGAAAGAAAATGAAGTGTACTGAAACCCTAAAGTGCAATTTTTTTTGCAATTATATCGTTGGTTAAGTATAGGCGACTGTATGTAAATTGCGGTCATCAGGGAGCCGCTATTGAAACCGCTTTCGATTGCGCGCTCTCATTTTACTTTCACTTTCACTTTTGAGATTCGCGATCACAAGGACTCTATACTATGGAGCGGCAGTACTTACCACACATTTGACAAGATTAGATGTTTGTCATTGGTGCTCAGGATCTGCAAATCATTCGCCATCATCCTATCAGACATTTCTCCTTACTCTGTGTATGTGGTAAGTGAACTTTCATGTACTGTGATGCAACAGGCTACCGCTAGCAAGCGGCTAACCTTTTAGTGGCGCTGTATAATGCGTTATTTGTTTCATGCTTCGGGCACACCCCTAACCCCGCCCGATGTCATCATCCATCACGATGTTTCACTGTAGACATCGTCTGATGCCAATTTGGTAGAAATCGCCCAACCCTAGTTAATGTAAAGCATTACAGTGGTGGACAAAATGATTAGAACACTAGTATTTTCACCAGCTAAAAATGGTTTAAGTCAGTTATCTTTTGCTGTAGTGTGTCAGTAGGAAATATCAGTTTACATTTCCATTTTGCCATTAATTTGAATAATCCAGTGAGATTTTTGTTTGCACAAGGAGTCTGACAAGAGCCAGTGCTCAGAACAAACTGAGACAGACTCAATCCAGAAGAACTGTCTCCAAGATGCTTCAAGAAACATTCCTGCAAAGCTCCCTGAGAAACTATTGTGCACCTAAAACAAGTGCACCGAGGGCAAAAGCTGCTTTAAACGCAAAGGATGATCACACCAACTGTTGATTTCATTTAGTTAATAGAAGTTAATTGATAAAGACTATCTATGGCATTATTTTTGACAGCATCCTCATTTTACAGCATTTTTACACAAGTGCCTAAAACTTTTAACAGTACAGTAGCTTTGCAGGTAGGCTTCCTGAAGCATCTTGGAGACGTTGCCACAGTTCTCATGTCTACATGTCAAAGAGAGCTCTGGTGTTGGTTAAGATAGATATAGAATCTGGCGTCTGTCCTGTCTGTATCTCAGATAAGCAGCACTTGAGCCCCTCTTCCTGTCCTGCTCACTCTGTAGGGTGTTCTTGGAAAGTGTTATCTGTCCTTCTAGAACCTGACCTCACATCTGTCCTGTGGTTAACCTCAGAGCACCAGAACTACTTCGGTGTGGATGAGAACTTGGGTCCGGTGGCCATCAGCGTACGGAGAGAAAAGCTGGATGACGGGAAAGACAAGGAAGCAGCGCAGTATAACTATCGCATTACCTTCAGGACGAGTCAGGTACTTGATGAATTACTCAACAAATAATAATAGATTACATTTGATTAATTGATCAGCCTATCATACAATTAATTCACTTTAAAATTAATTGATTGACATCCCAAATTGCAGTAAAATTTGAAAAATGTTTAAAGTTGTTTTAGATACAATGAATAAATGAACATGGAAACTGTTCCACATTTAAATTCAAGTTTTACCTGCTAATATTTAGCATTGAATTATTATAAGGAGGTAAAACTCTCCTTCTTTCAAACTTACAAGCTATAAAATATATTAAATGATATTATTTATATTAAAATATAAATATATTAAAATATATCATCCTTAGGAGGACAAACAGAAATCAGTTGCTAATAACTGTATTTAATTAATTAATTAATTTATTCACTTTCTTACCATGCAAAATTGCAAACATTTTAATGGTACTAAAATAAACTTCATTTTCTAATTGATCTTCATTCATTCATTCATTCAGGATTCAGGATGGATAATCTTCAATTACATTTAATTTTATTAAAAAAACATTGATAAAATGTTTTGATAAAAATTGATAAAATCTTAATAGACCTAAATTAAACTTAATTATCTTTATAAAAAATAGAATTACCTTTTTTTCCTTTTTATGAGGTGAAATGTTTATTTGTTTGTTTATTGTTTGTAAAGATGGTCTTAATTGTCATGAAAATGCAAAAATAGTTATGGTCCTAAAATAAACTTAATTTTCTAAATATAAATGGTAAAATAATATTATAATTATAATATTAATATAAAAATATTTATTTATTTATTTAAGATGGATAATCTTTAATGAAATTTAATTTTAATAAAAATAATCATAATAGACCTAAAATGAGCTTCATTTTCTTTATGCAAAATATAATTTTCTTTTTTCCTTTTTTTTTTATGAGGTGAAATATGCTTATTCTTATTATTTTCGAGGACAGTACAGGTGCATCTCAATAAATTAGAATGTATGCAAATATTGTCAGCATTAGTTCTTCTCTCTTATCAAATGCATCGTCACATTAAACCTTAGGCTTTGATCTTTAGCTTCTAGTGGAACTCATTCACAATTAAGCTGAATTATGAAGCCTAGACACTCACATGAATCAAAACATCAGAATGAGATTTAAAGAGATGCTAGTACTTCAAATCAGCATTCAGCATTAAAGCCTTTTACTTTATAAGTGAAAGTGCAGATAAAAGGGTCAAGACTCAATTACTTCCTTTCAGACAAGAGCGTGCCATCAAATCTCCTGCAGAGAGGGAGAATTTCATTGCCAATTACTTAATATCCCAATGGATCTATGTATTTTTTTTTTTATTGAAAGTATTGAGTTTTCTCATAGACTGACAGGATTTAATACTTGAGGTCAAAAACTGGACTGATATATTGACCAGACTACTGCCTTGTCATGGGATTTTGATTGTTTGAGGCAGGAAAATGTCCTTGCTGTGTAATGCATGTGATGTTTAATTCCTGTCCAGCGTACTAACAGCTCTGCTCTCTCTTTCCTTCAGTGAGCATGCTTAGTCATATCTTGTGAAACAGGCGAGGTAACTCCAGGCATTGTGATGTGACATGTAGCCAATTATGGTGTCCTATACTCGGAATTTGTGCTCCCTAATTTATCCCATCCAAATGCACACACACAGCAGTGAGTAGTGAACACACACACACTGTGAACACACACCTGCGCAGCCATTTTTGCTGTGGCGCCCGGGAGCAGTTGGGGGTTCGGTGCCTTGCTCAAAGGCACCTCAGTCGTGGTATTGAAGGTGGGAGACAGCTCTGTACATTCACTCCCCCCACCTACAATCCCTGCCGGTACGAGACTCGAACCCGCAACCTTTGGGTTACGAGACCGACTCTCTAGCCATTAGGCCACGACTTCCCCTTAAGGGTCGATCAATAACAGCTCCAGTCACCCACTGATTTCCTAACTTTGAGTGGAAGTGTGAATGAGGTTGGCATATAGCCGGAATGATATTTTATTTCATACATAGAGACATTCCATTCCCGCCCTCTCAATAATGCTTCATTATCATTTTTACAAGGAAGTGTTTCTTGAAGATTTCTTGAATGTTAAATATAGACCTCGTGTCATATGAATGGAAAGCCCAGTCATTTCTTTTTGTCTGGTTATATTCTTTTTTTGAAAGAAATTAATACTTTTGTTCAACAAGGATGCATTAAATTGATCAAAAGTGACAGTAAAGGCATGCAGATGTTACAAAACGTTCTATTTTAAACTTTAATTTTAACTGCTGTTCTTTTGAACTTTCTATTCAGCAAAGAATCCTGAAAAATAAAATCTATCAGGGTTTCCACAAAAATATGAAGCAGCACAACTGTTTTCAAGATTGATAATCAGAAATGTTTCTTGAGCAGCAAATCAGCATATTAGAATGATTTCTGAAGATCATGTGACACTGAAGACTGAAGTAATGATGCTGAAAATTCAGCTTTGATCACAGGAATAAATTACATTTTACAATATATTCACATAGAAAACATTTATTTTAAATTGTAACAATATTTCTTAATTTGACTGTTTTTGCTGTAGTTTTAATCAAATTATTATTAAATACTTTATTAATCCTTCACAGGAAATTATATTGTTACAGCAGCAACCTCAATTTAATCCATGCACACAGACATATCTACCTAAGTACACACCTAAAAAAGAATCTTACACTAAAAAAAAGCACATTACCCTATAAAATGCATTACAGTTATTGCACATTAAAAAGCCTGATAGCAGCAGGCAGGAATGATTTACGATGCCGTTCAGTCTTACATATTGGAGGGATCACTCTGCCACTAAATGTACTCTGCCGAAACGCCTCTAAATGCATGTAATGGGTGCGAGTCATTGTTCATAATAACATTTATTTTTCTCAGCATCCTCATCTCCACAACCCGCTCAACCCAGTCCTGTGTGATGCCAATAATAGAGCTTGCCTTTTTGATCAATTTATTTAGTCTGTTCCTGTCAGATGTGCATGCGCCCAACCCCCAGCACAAAAACTGCTTTGACCTTTTTTGTATACAGCTTCCATGTGGCTGGACCAGTACAGTTTATTATCCAGCTGTACCCCAAGGTGCTTATAGTTGGAGACCAGGTCCTCTTCTGTTCCCAAAATAGAGACTGGATCTTGTTTTAGGCCTCTTCCTCCTAAAATCAATGACCATTTCTTTGGTCTTGGAGATATTAAGCCTCAGATGGTTATTATTACACCAGTCCACAATTCCCTGATTGTACTTCTGAATTATTCCTCACAACCATCCCTGATACATCCCACAACAGCTGAATCATCCGAGTATTTCTGAAGAAAGCAGGTATCAGAGTTTTGTTGAAAGTCAGATGTGTATAGACTAAACAGAAAAGGTGACAGGACAGTTCCCTGTGGGGCTCCAGTACTACACATAACAGTCTCTGAGACACATTTTTGGAGCCGCACGTACTGTGGTCCAGCAGTTAAATAATCAGTCACCCAGAAAACAAGCTCCGACTCCACCTGCATCCTCCTCATCTTCTCACCCAGCGATGGTGTTGAATGCACTCGAGAAATAAAAAAACATGATTCTGACATTTGTACCAGGATTATCCAGATGTGTGTAAACCCTCTGGAGCATATAGATTAGGGCATCATCAACACCTATATTAGGCTGGTATGCAAACTGAACAGGGTCTGTGAATGTGCACACTAAGAAAGGACCAGTCTTTCAAGTGTCTTCATAATGTGAGAGGTAAGGGCAATAGGTCTGTAATCCTTGAGCTCTGGAAGCATTACATAAGTACTACATAAATAAATGCAGCCTTACCGAGCATAAGAGACTTCTTTCAAAAACATAGTCTTACCAATCCCAAACTTCTGAACACTATGTGTCTTAGTATTTCCCTGTCACATGAATGACTGTGGATTCCCATCACCACATGTGCTGTGAATCTTCTTGTTGGGTTTACTGTCGAGATCAAACGTCGTCTGAAAAATTCCCAGGGTGTTTAGTCTCACATAAGAGACAAAAACAGAAAAAATAACATTCCATTACTGCACTTAATGCACTTTATTGATCTCAGTTTCATTTTTCTCTGCAGGAGCGTGTAAGGGTTTGTCCCAAAAGACTTGTGTTTTAGTGTAGACCTTGTGTGGGATCCCATCTGAGTCAGTCGAACTCCAGTGCGTGTAGTCATGCACGTTACAGCGAAGCAGGGCAGTCCGGGTAACGTGCGTTGAATCGCTATAAATTGGAACAGACTTGAAGTGTGCTATTTGTACTAGTGTTTATAATTTAACCATCAAGTTTGGGCACAAACCACTCAGATTTCCTGCAGAAATTGAATTGTTATTTTGTGATTTTGTAGTGGCACTAAAATGACACGCTTCACCTTTGTGGAGATGAACGGGGGTCTCAATCGTTGCCTCTGGGGATGCAGGTGTGAAAAACAACACCCATGTCACATAAAGTGCTAATGACCTCCAGTCTGCCACCCGCGCGTACAGAAGAGTGCCAGCCGTATCGCTTTACCTCGGGCTGCTACGGGAGGGTTTGCTGCTCACTTGATGGTGACAGATAATGAGAAGTGAAGCCTTTTGTTCCATTTCCCGTCCCTTTCTTCTCTTATACTCGCGTGTGACCGTGATTCCTCACGGGACGATAGAATTAGTAGAGGCTTAGCAGAAATGAAACTTTGCTGAAAGCAACAGTTGGATTTTGGAAATGAAGATCTCCTATATATACATACATATGTGACCCTGGACCACAAAACCAGTCTTAAGTCACTGGGGTATATTTGTAGCAATAGCCAAAAGATTCCACCCTCAGATTCTAGATTTTCAAATAGTTGTATCTCGGCCAAATATTGTCCTATCCTAACAAACATCATACATCATACACCATACATCAATGGAAAGCTTATTTATTCAGCTTTCAGATGATGTGTAAATCTCAAAATCTACCCTTATGACTGGTTTTGTGGTCCAGGGTCACATAT